AGGCGTGATAATGAGGTAAATATTTCTTCCCTAGAACAACAAATCTCGAGTCTAACTTCTCTTGTTGTCAAATGGTTGTAGGAACATGCAACAGTGAAGGCTTGCAGGATTTGTTCGGTAGTAGGGCATCCAACTGACATGTGCCCAACTCTTCAAGAGGAGCCTGTTGAGCAAGTGAATGCAGCAGGTGGTTTCCCTCGACAACCGCAAAGGAAGTATGATCCTTATTCTAGCCATATAACCCTGGATGGAGGGATCACCCTAATCTTGGCTATGGGAATTAACAAATGAGTCAGCCCTACCCTCAAAACGCCCCAAATTACCAGCAGTATAAGCAGCCATACCCCTAGACAAAAACGGACCAAACTGCTAATTCTGGTATGCTTTAGAAGATATTGTTAAGTCTCTTGCTACTAACACTTTGCAATTTCAACAGGAGACGAGAGCCAGCGTTCAAAGTTTAGAGAATCAAATGGGGGAGATGGCAACCGCAATCAGTAAGCTGGAGGCACAAAGTTCAGGGAGAATCCTTCTCAAACGGTGATAAATCCAAGAGAAAATGTAAGTGCGATTGTCTTGAGAAGTGGTAAAGAGGCTGAGATTCAACAAAGGAGCCCTACATCGTCGAAGGAAGAAAGAAAAGAGAAAGATGTAGTTGTAGACAACAACGTTCCCAACGACGATAGTGTTCCTAAGCGTAAGTTTCCGCCTTTGTCTGAGTATAAACCCGTACCACCTTTTCCTCAAGCTTTAGCAGAATCCAGAAAAGATGAGCAGAACAGAGATATGTATGAGACTTTTCGTAGATGCGAGGTAAATATTCCACTTTTAGATGTATTAAACAAGTACCTCGTTATGCTAAATTCTTGAAGGAATTGTGTACACTTAAGAGAGGAAACAGAAAATAAGGGGTGTGAAAAGGTGAGAGTGGGAGAAAATGTTTCTGCAGTAATTCAGAGAAAACTTCCAGCGAAAACTTCCAGCGAAATGCAAGGATCCGGTAGTTTACTATCCCTTGTACGATAGGTAACATAGGTTTGAGAAGGCCATGTTAGATTTAGGAGCTTCTATCAATGTCATGCCATATTCCAATATGCTTCTTTGAAACTTGGACCTTGAATAAAAATAGTGTTGTAATTCAATTAGCTGATGGATCTAATGCTTACCAGGGTGTAGTTGAGGATGTTTTGGTACAAGTTAATGGCTTAATTTTCCCTACTGATTTCTATGTACTGATATGGAAAATGGAGGTCAATTTACCCCTATTTTGTTAGGAAGACCTTTCTTAAAAACATCCAAGACTAAGATTGATGTTCATAGTGGCATACTTACCATGGAATTTGATGGTGAAATTGTTAAGTTTGACATTATGATGCCGTGAAATATCTGATGATGATGATGATGATCATGTTTATTCTATTGATGTGGTTGATTCTTTAGCACAGGAAGTTTTTGAACTGATGGAAAAGATGGATGGGAGTTGCCGTTAGTAAGCATCTTGAGGAAGAGAATGAGGAGTTAGCTTTTAGTACTGATTTGCAGGAAACGATTGCAGCATGGAATGATTCTCCAAAGTTACGTAGCAACAGTCGGGTAACGTTCCGTATTGCATTACCAATTCTAACGGAGAGCCTTTACCTTCTGTTTTGCAGGCCCCGTTCCAGATTTGAAGCCTCTCCCTAGTTGCCTCAAGAATGTGTTCCTGGGAGATGGTAGAATGTTACTTAGTGCATTGCAAGAACAAAAGCCTTGAGTCGAGCCAACGACAATAAACAAAGGCGCGTTGGGAGGCAACCCAAGGGAAGTTTGTTTTCTTTTCTTGCATTAATTTTGGTTATTTTTGCCTTTCTTTGCATTTCATCTTCCATTGGGGACAATGTCAGTTTTAAGTGTGGGGGAGGGGATTTAGGTTGATTTAGGTTGTGTTTAATTAGTGTTGATTAGGTTTTGTTAGGTTTTGTTTTTAGTGTTTAAAAAAAAAAAAAAAAATCTGCCTAGTTTAAGGGTAATCGGCTGGAAACCAAAACCCGCCTTAAAAACTGCCTAGCAGTACTTGGCAACTCGGGTATAACAACGCCACGTACACTTAAACGAAATTCCCCCGCATTTGTTTTTAGGAAGGTTTTTGCTTTAAGTCATGTCTTTGAACGTCTAGTGATGCATGAAATAGTAACTTGACTTTGTTGTTGAGCCTATTCCTTGACTTAGGATGTTAGCAATCTTTCATAAAATAGAGTCAATCATATTTGAATCTTGTAGTTTGAAATAATATGTCTTGAGAAGTTGTGTAGACTTGGTGACGAAGCATGATTGAGGAGTGTATAACAGCCCTTAAAAGAAAAAGAAAAAAATTGTTTCTCTTAAGCTAGTCCTAAATTTGGGTTTAAGCAAATAGGAAAAAGAAAAGAAAGGTATGTGGTGAGTCGAGATGGAGCGTAAAACGCACTCACTCATAAACACAACCATGAAATGAGATGGAGCATAAAATGCACTCATTCTTTTTCAAACAGAAAAAAAAAAAAAAGAGAAAAAAAAATTGTATCCTTAGTTTGCTACCCAGTTTGTAGTAGTAAAGAGAAACAGTAAAAGAAAAATTGAGAGGTGAGGTGTACACGAAGTTGTGTGATTAGTTTCTGTTTGCATTGACTAATTGAGAGTAATTGGAAAATGATGAAGAGAGATGAATGTCATTAACTCTACTTATTTTATTTTGCTGCTTCCAAGTTAGGTATGAATATGCATGGATTAAATACTGGTTCTTATGCATCATGTTAATGTTCTGATATAACTTGAGATGATGGGGTGCGGATTGACTGGAGTGTAGTGTTTGTTTGAATGTTTGCCCGAGGAAGTGCAAAAGCTAAGTGTGGGGAATTTGATGAGAATGCAAAATGTCATATTTACCCCCTTAATGCCTAGTCTTTTATACCTATTTGCTGCCTAAATGTACTGATTTTTATTCTATTTTGATTAGGAAGCAAAGGGAGCGTTAATTGCAAAACGGAACCAATTAAGTGAATTGGACAGTTTTGATGTTGTTTGTATTTGGGAATAACTCTCTCATTCAGCTCCGATTGAGATGATTCAAAATGCTGTAGAACGCTAAGAAATATATCTACAACTTTTATGTTTTGAGTTTAGAGAGATAATTGCTGTATCAAGGTGTAATTGGGCTTGAAGTTGACACATCTGCACTGCCGATGGCTGGAACATTCTGCTTGTAATGCAAGTCTAAGAGGCAGTTATATTGGAAGATTTGAAGACATGTGGCACACGAGTTACAGCTGGACACATCACTTTCCTATTTTTATTTTTAAGACTTTATTGTATTTTCAATTAATGAGAATCAGATTAGGATAATTGATTCTAGGATATTAGAATATTTTAGGAGAGATGAGTGAATTCAAACACTTGAATTAGATTTTTGTGAAGGGAGACAAGGAGGTTTGGTGGACCCACGCCTCTCTCTGGTCTTCTCTGAACTTTTGCTCTATAATCCAGTGATGGCCATGAGAGGCTGATTTTGATAACTTGGTCGAAGTAAACGGAAGCCTCAGAATCGATAAACTGTGAGATCTAATATATTTTTCTTTTGTGTTCAATTTTCGTGTTTGAGTATTGGATGTTTTTCTATGCCTAATTTTATGATTGTTTGTTTAATTACTAGGGAGGCCTACTAGTTTATTAATTGTTGCAATTTATGCTAAGTTAGATATCAAATCCGTAATTGTTTGATCCCTCAACTTGCAAAGCAATTGGGTAGTAATTTGCGCGTCAGGAATATAACCTTACGAAGAACATTCAACTAAATTAAATACAACCGCTTGTGTTGTGTTGTTTAGCTTCATCGATCTCTCTAATTCTTAAGGCTGCCAATAGATTAAATCTTGAGCGCTTGTCTAGGGTTGTTTAGGGGTAAGATTAATTAGGATCGCTGTTTCCGATAATTACAATTAAGGAGAGATAAGAAATTAGTTCCAACGGTGAATATTCAATGTGTGAATTGATTATCCTCGATCAATGATCAGTTGTAAGATTCCGATGGTGGATGTTGACGGAGACCAAGTTTCGTTAATTAATTGATTTCGAATTGAACTGTTTTTTTTGTTTTGGTTTTTGCTAGAAAGTTTCTGTTTTACACAGAACCCCCCAACCTTGTTCACATAACAGCAAATTCAGCTAGACACTCTTCGTGGGATCGACCCTGACTTACACTACTACGTGTATTTTTAGTTTTAATTCTAGCTGCACGATAGCACACCAATACCCCGTAGTATTTTACGAAACTGAAGTACCCTGGAGGGGGTATCCCCTTGGGTCAAGGGGACTCCTCAGTGCGTTGATTAGCTTGCTCAGGTTCAGATTGGCGGGCCATTGTTGCTGTAGGACCAGTAGGTTGAGGATTCTCCGAGAAGGGTAGACACTAAATCAGGGCCCTCCTTCTAGCGCCAAACTGTTGATGCGTGATTCTAACACCAACTAATCGACACGTGCGCAACGTGATTGGTCAAGAAACACACGTGATTATGGATAGAGAATACGAAATAAATGCAATGAGAGCTTTTAAAGTGGTTGGGTGCTAAGGTAGCTACGTCCACTGATTTGTATTAATATGGTGGGTCAGGTCGCAAAAGGATTGACTTACAAATGATTGGGAACAGTAAATACAAAGTTAGAGAGAGAGAGAGTTCAAGGGTAAAATGGCCGAACCCCCTAATGAAGGGGTCTTCCCCTTTTTATATCAAGTTGAATGCGTGTAATCATCATTAAATCCTTGGGTTGGTGTGAATGTCAGGACATAATCCGGCTTTACGTCTTATTGCCCATTTCCCAAGCTGATTTCAGCGATTTGGAGCAGGAAAATGGACACGTGGGAGCCCATGGCGCTTGGCAGGCCTGACGTGCACTTACCGTTCTGACGGGAGTAGGTCACGCTTCATCACGTGACTCTCCACGTCAGCCCTTGATTTCCCAGGCTAACACCGTTCATTTATACGCAGAGGTTTGGTAGTCAAACATGGGATTCTGCATTCACTGTTCAAGCTTTACTTGCTACCATCTCATCGATGAAATCAGACCAGTGATGATGAAAGCACATGACTTCATTAAGAAATCTCAGGTTTCAATATTAACTCCTATAAATATATGTACAAAAACAATGTTTTTTTTTTTTTTTTAATGAAATGTTAAATAATCTTCATGTTGCACAAAATCTTGCAGATATTGAATAATCCTGGGCAGTGGCGGACCCAGGATTTTTGTTGAGGGGGGGCCTCCGCGGCTCCGCCGTTGTTTGTAACTCACTATTGAAAACTTAAAAAAAACCATTAAACCTAAGCAAAGAAAATAATACAATATCAAGAAGCGAAAGAAAATGATGCAATAAACACATTACTTTCCTACTTAAATAAATCTACGAGAATAAAACCTTGAAAGCAAATATGAAAATCACATCCAACTCACAAGGAAACACAAGAAAATTTTGATGGGAAAAACCTCTTAAATGCGAAGAGAGCAAAAAATCACAATAATCTAACAATTCACTTAAATCTAATAAATAAAAAAAGTTCACAGTCTACCAAAAATTTCCATACAAATTTAAAGTCCAATCACAATTCTAACACAAGTAAAATACATAAATGTTATAAAGAAATAAATTAAAATCACCAGAGAAGCAGTCAAACTTAAGCTTTTAACTCCAAATCCAACTATTAAAATCAAAACTCAACCATCGAGATTAAAAATTTAGCAAAACTTGTCTCATTTACTCGTCAGTCAAACATACTACAAAAAAATATACTTAAATAAAAAAAATTGAATTTAGAGCAATATTACTAAATGAAAAGGAGGTAAAAAAAACCTAAAAGTTTGCCTCATTTTCTCATCAATCTAACGACTAAAAAAACCTATAATAATTAAAATAAACAAACATAGCATTCAGAACAAAGTACAAAACAAAACAAAAAACTGTCAAAAAAATGAACAAACTTAGCATCATTTTCTCATAACCTAACATACTAAAAATAGCTGAATAAAATAAAATAAAACTATAGAATTTAGAGAAAATTACGAAAGATAAAGACAGTAAAAAAAAAATAATGAACAAAACTTGCCCATTTTCTCATCAAGAAAACACAGTTAAACGAAAAAAATAACTAAGAATTCAGAGCACAAAAATAAAATAAAATAAAAAACACATTAAAAGAAAAAGTGGAAAATTCAACCTCATTTCCGGTAACCAAACATGCAAGAAACAATGAAAAGAGCGAATACCTTAGAATTTAGAGGTTGAAGTTGAAGAGAAGAGCGAGCGTGAGTTTGTGTTCAAAGGGTAGGTCTTGTATAGTTGCACAAAATTGACAATTATTGGTTTTGAAATAATGATTCATTCTTTCAATTATCTGTATAAGTTTTTGCCTTTTTGTTTATTTCAGAAAATTGGTAAAGGTCATTTGTAGAAGTGGGTTTTGATTTATTAAAGTTTACTCTTGATGAATTTTAGGAGAACTTTATGATAATCTGTAAAACTTCAGGAGAATATTATCAAAGTTGAATGTTTTTACTAAATTTCAAAGGACATCATTGTTAGGAATGAGTACTTAAATTGTTTCTGCAAACGTTATGAGTTAAGAGGTAGAGATGATGTATTGCAGAGGCGTTTTTGTATCATTAAAGTTGCGGTGGCTTTGTTGCATAAAATGATAGTGAAAATGAAAATGCCCTCTGTTTGGATTCTTCACACTCATGATTTGGGTATCCCATAAAATTAAAAGTAAAAATTTTAAAATTTTTATTACTCATTTGAGGGTAGGCCCAGGCCTACTCTCAAATGGCCTGGGTCCGCCCCTGCCCTCGGGGACTTTAAAAGCAAGTGTCATTCCATTTAAAGGGTCATGGACTTTTCTGATCAAGATCATGGATGACAGTTTCTGATTGTACTGCAGAAAGTTTGTGGGTATTTATATATAACAATTTTTTTTTTTTTTGGGAGTAAATTAAATAGTATGAAATATTGAACCAATAAAGGTTATATGTCTTGACAATTTGTTGACAAGATCTCATGTGTTCCTAGTGTTGCCTACATTTTTCAATGATGCCGGCAGAGGTTGTGGGGAGAAAATGGAAGCTGAACGGTTATATGATGCGGTCAATGCTTACTTACCTTCCAGGTATGGATTTACTTAGGATTAATTTTATGCTCTTGTACATGAATTCGTGTATTTCTGTTGAAATTTGAAGCTATTTTCACATGGTTGCATGCAGTTAGCTCACAATAGGAGCATCATGATTATTAATTTTGAGTATAAATAGTAATGTTTTCCTCATTTATAGAAAGTGCTATTATGTCTCTTACTCTTAGACATCACCTAATTCATCTTTTTATGATCTTAGTAAAATCTTTCTAGTCTGTAAATATGGATATGGTCCTCATAATCACTCTTTTATTTTATTTCATTCTTTTGAAATATCAAAAATTTTTATATTTGTTTCTTTGTTCAATCAAATATATAAAAAAATACAAAATTCTTTTGTATACGAAAATTTATTAACGAAACTTGATGAACTAAAATGTCAATATTTCATGGATGATAATAACTGAAATTTTTTCACTTCCCCCCACTGAAACAAAAACAAAATCCTCCATCATTGCCACCATAATATATAACAGGAAAATAAATGAGATAATGTAATACTAAATAATAGTAGTTGACAGGTCTTTTACCTATTGCAATACTACTCAGATTCAATATTACTCAATTTTTTTTTTTTTATGCATATATAAAATACATTTTGGTATTAACATGCACAAACATCTAAAATATGTAGAGTAAATGGCGGTATATAGTATGGGAGCCAGCAGGAGCTAAATGGTGGTTGGAGGTAAGCTAAGAACTTCAACATTATTAAAGAAATGTATTTCCTCTCTCCTTATCAATTTCATGCATTAGAAAATGTATTTCTCTTTCTCTATTTAATTTCTTTGCAGGCTGCTTATCCCATGGAATTTCTGGATAAGGTTGTGATTGAGCAGAGTAAGATCCAGATATACTTTAAATTTATTACATTAAAATTAAATTAATTCCATCAAAACTGATTAAAAATTATCATATGTAGGCATCCTGAGTGCACTGCATCAACAATCAAGGCCTTGACATTGTTTAAGAAGTTATACCCAGAGCATAGAAAGAAAGAGATTGAAATCTGGTCACAAATGCTGTTAAGTATCTTGAAGAATCACAATTGCCTGATGGTTCATGGTATGTATCTTTAATAAATTGGTAAGTCTCACTTTGTGCCTCAAAACATATGTTAAAATGATTTGTACATCAAAATTATACATGGTAAAACGGGGCCATGACACGCCAACCCGACATGAACATGACACGTTTTAGCGAGTTAGGTTGACGAATAATGTTTAGGTTGGATTCAGGTTGAAAAACTCTAACATGTTATAAACTGGACACTTAATAATTAATAACTATAACTTTAAACAATAATAACATATACGAAAAATAGTAAATTAAATGTGTATTTATGTCAAAAATATTTTAAATGGGTTAATAGTGTCAATTGTTAAAGAGTAAAATTATTACATGTCATAAATGGATGGGATATATATATATATATATATATATATTATATATATTATATATATATAGATATATTATATATATAATATATATAATATAATATATGTGTTGTGTGTGTGTGTGTGTGTGTGTGGTGTGTGTGAGAGAGAGGAGAGAGAGGAGAGAGAGAGAGGAAGAGATATTATTGGTTCACCCTATTATGTGATATTGTCCATAGACGTGCAAGTAAAAATTAAAAAAAAAAAATTAAGTATTTTTCTAAATTCTGCCCGAAGTTTATAATAGAATAACAATAACATATTTAATTACAGGTATGCAATTTGGGGAATTTGCTTCATTTATGGTACTTGGTTTGCGATTGAGGGCCTAACGACTGTAGGGAAGACTTACAATAATTGTTTGGCTATACGTAAAGCTACTGATTTTCTGCTAAAAACACAGTTAGATGATGGGGGATGGGGAGAGAGCTACCGTTCTTCTACAACCAAGGTAATTTATTTGGGGTTTATTATCCATTCTTCTACAACCATGGTAATTTATTTGGGGTTTATTATCCCTAACCAGGTAATTTATTTGGGGTTTACTATCCCTAACCTCCCTTGAGGTTTAGCGACTACCCACAAGTTTAAAATAGCATCCTTCACCTCCCCTAAAATTTCAAAAATTATCTCAAACCTCCCCTCTCCAACGTACGTTTGCTAAAGGAGTCCATTAGGTTTATTGTATTGTTCTTATTGGCAAATTATTCTAAGCCTCCTAAGTATTTTAAAAGCCCCTCAGCTATGGAAACTCAACACCACTGCCAATAAAATCAAGTTGCCCTCTACTCCAAAACCACTTGAATACCTTATTTATCCCCAATGCCAATAAAATAAAATAAAAATAAAATAAAAATTAGTAAATACAATTCACTTTTAATTTTTATAAAAAACATACAGTAAACCTATATACTTAGGCACTGAGGAAAATACGGTGGGTTATTTACTCTTTTATCATTAAGGTTTGCTGTCTATTGCACTTTCATCCTAGGTATATCCATTTTTAAAAGCCCCTCATATATTGGAAATTGTTCTCAACCCCCCTGCCAATAAAATCAAGTTGCTCTCAACTCCAAAACCAATTAAAAACCTTCTTTACCCTAATTCCACTCAAATAAAAAAATTAATAAATACAATTTACTTTTAATTTTTATGAAAAATAAAGTAAACCTATATACTTAGGGGGGTTTTAAAATATCTATATACTTAGGGGTTTAGAGTCCTTTTACATCAAGAAAAATATAGTGAGTTATTTGCACTTTCATCTTTAAGGTTAGGAGTATATTACATTTACCCTTAGTATTATAGAATATGAACAGTTTAGTCAAGTAAGGTCAAATTTTACAATAAAAAGTCTATAATTCCCCTATTGTCTTATACATATATTATTAGAAATAGATAAAATAAAAAAAAGTATGTGTGTGTGTGTGTGTGTGNAATTCATTGATTTTCACTAAAGGGTTACAGGCTTTATATAGGGAGTA